GGGTTCCTCCACAGACATAAACGCACCTTCCCCTGGCGCCCTCCTCTCTGCAAAGTCAGCCTCTCTGCTTCTGGGGGGCTGCTGCGTCCTGGTGGCCCGAACAGTCAGATTCTGTTTTACCAGCTCTTCTGCAGGTAGGGGCATCGGCAAAGCTCTCCATCCTACCCTCTCTCTCTTGACTTTAACTTGTTTTTCTCTCTGAATCTGTCCCTCGGCATTACAGTGTAATTCTCATGAGGTCTCACCTTGGTGTCTGCTGTTAGTGCCCACAGCCATGCCTGTCTCAGTAAATGTTTGCTGAGTATAATCACAGGCTAATTATTAACCAGTCAGGGGCTGCTCTGGGATCGCCATAGGTAAGACAGGAATTCACTCCAGGCCCCTGAGAAGCCCCGCTAGAGAGGCTGCGACCCTCCAGGACAGCGGGAAGGGAAGCATGCGAGTTCCACAAGGGGAGGGGGGACAATGGTCACAGCCACGCTGAGTCAAATCGGAGCGCCGCCTCCAAGAAAGAGCTAGGTTAGGGGTCATGGGTAGATAACCCGTGGTCTCGGCCGCCATCCCACAAAATACCCAGGAACATGTGTTTGTCAGTGACAGGTGTCCTCCTAACTTTAACTTCAACATTTAATAACTTCAATATTTAATATTAATCAATATTTTCTAGAGTGATAATTATTTATATGTATGTTTATATTATACTAGAGGCCCGATGCACAAAATTCATGCCTGGATACGGTCCCTAGGCCTGGCTGGTGGTCAGGGCCATCTTCCCTCTGCCACTGCCCCTGGCTCCCCATTTGCCCTTGGGCGATCGGAGTCTGCCCCCTGAAGGAAGGGTTCCCCCACAGATGGCACTAGTAAACGCACCTTTCCCTGGCACCCTCCTCTCTGCAACGTCAGCCTCTCTACTTGGGTGGGTGACAACGAACATGCCTTTTCCTTCAATTTGGTTGCCTTCTGTGTCGTACCCTCCAATGTATGGCATGCTTAAAACATTCAGAGTCAGAATCCGGCTACACAAGAAGACAGAGTGGGGGTTCTGCTCTGTGCGTGGGGAGAGGCAGGATGGTCTTGAACTTGGGTCACTCTGCACAGTGGCCATAGACCTGCGGCCCGAAGCCACCTGTTCCTAACTCTCATTGGCTGATTGTGCTGTTTATCTGTTAGACTCTGCAGGCTCCTCTCAGGGGTCCCCTCTGTTCAGAGTTCTATGTGCAGTCTTGTCGAAAGGCAGATTCTGGCTCCGTCGGTCTGAGGTGGGGCCTGAACCCCCTTTCCTCGCAAGCTCTCAGGTGATGTGGACAACACTGAGCGGCAAAGAGCCGGTGGTACAGAGCCCTCACCAACACCTGCAGAACCTTACCCTCAGTTTCCTGTTTCGTGCATCTGGGGGGTGGAACCCAAGAATTAAGCATTTCTAACAAGTTCCCAGGTGGTGCTTTGGCTACCAGTCCAGGAATCATATTTCAAGAATCTCAGTGTGGATCTCACATAGGTAAGAGGTATCTCAAATAGGTAGAACAGCAAGCGATCCCTCTTGTAGAATACCTACTATCGACAAAATACCTTCCTGAGTTTGGGCTTTACATTTTTATAAGTGACCTATGTAAATGTCATCCACCCTGAATTCCAAAATGTTCTGTGTACTTTATAGCAGAGGCGAAGCCAGAGCACAGAAACACTGTCATTTCCACCCTGCGTTAGAGTTCCTTTTCTTAACTATAGCTGGCAGGAAACAACTCTGCATGAGTTCTTAGTGTGAAATCAAGGTAAAACTTTGACGTTCTTTTTAAATTAATAATTCAATGTTACTATATTTAAAGGTCCCTAAACATGGGCAAATAAAAAGACTGTAAATAGGTAACTGTTGCACAATAACAACTACATTTTTTAAAAGTTTAAGACCCTGTACGTCTCAGGCCAAACACAGAGGAAAACCATCCTTGTTCATTGTCTTCCCTCTAAAGTTATGAAATACACAACTTTCAACTCTACAGATTGGTTCTGTTTAAGGACATTTTATTCCTTTCAAAAAACTTACTGTGAGAAGTAGAGATTTTTAAATAATTTGATCTATCTTTGCAAATTGTGCATTATGAATCTACTTTACACATTTGTTTTTATAATGTTTCTTATATACTTAAATTAGTCTATGTATTTGAAAATGTCATTATTTTATTGTTAGTAAGAATTTGAGGTCAGGGTGTTGTTGGTTTTTTGTTTTGTTTTTTGGGTTTTTTTAATGCAACATTATCCTTTCAAAGAGTTGTTTTGTTTTTTTTTAAATGGTATTTGCTCAATTTTATTGGGCCTTCCAGACTATAGAAGATAGAAAAGTCTATCCATTCTTAGTGATGCTTTCCCTGCTGTAGTTCTATTTTCTTTCTCCTACATAATTAGAAAGACAAGCGTAATGTCTGGCCAAATGCCAAGTTCCTTTAGATTTATTAGAAAAGCAGATAAAAGAGACCAGAGATATGAAGTGACATACTTTGTTTACCTGACTGCCTCACCTAACTGGTGATTTTTAACGAGTAAAGGACTTTACAACTAACGCACCATAGACAGAGAGTTAGCTTTTCCTTTCTAGGATAATAAAAAACCTCAACTCCAAAATATCTATTGTGTACATTTTCCAAATAGCATAGCACATTCCATTTTTAAAAAGTAGGTATATGCCTACATATCAGTGTTATAAAATATTTTAATAAACTCAGGAGGAATTAAAAACTCAGTAAAGTTAAGACAGTATTTAACAAAGCTCATGTATAATAATTATATGAATTTTCATCTATTTTGATGTTTCCATGGATTTTTTTTACATGAATCAAGAAAAAGAAAATTTAATTTTACCTAACTATAGAGTTAGTTATAGAAAAATAATTGATAATGATTCAATTATTGACAATTAATTTATATGAAATAATACATAAAATACAATGTTTTAATAAACTAAATTTGTAAACAGTCCAGTGGAGTTTCAAAATTTTCATCAATCAGACAATTAACATTTCATTTTGAGTGTAAACAGAGAATGACTATGATTTTCCTACATAAATCAAAAAACAATCACAGTTTCTCTGTGAGATAAATTTCACTGATATTTGAGAACATTTTTAGTAGCCAAAACTTCTTAGTACAAATTCATTTCCCACACTTTCTAATAATTCTGGCAATACTTTCAATGACCAAGCAATCTTTCCTTGGCCTTTAACTGTACTTTATGTTCAGTTATAAGTTTTTTCTTCCATATTGAAGCAAAGTTAAGAAATAAGAAGACATAAACAAACACATATAAGTTAATGTTTGGTTAGCAAATTTTAACCGTTCAGAAAACATTCTCACCTACATTAAAGAGCATTACTTATCATGATAATATGATATTTTTCCAAAATTTTAATATTACATTTTAGGATTTCAAAACTGGTATCACTGTCAGAGTAACATGTATGTCAGACTACAGAAATTGTATTTCCCTCCAAAATTATTTTCCTCCCAATGACTATAAAATCATAGAGTGTGGACAGCTTATAAAATAAGATCTTACTTATTAAAACTACTTTTTTATTCTGCTTAATATCCAATTTCATGCCAAGAAACACCTTTAATTAAGAACTGCTGAGAGTAAGGAAACTAATCACAAACATTTTACAAACTAACCACTCAGTTATTAATAGTTACCTAGTTTAGAGTTTTATGAAAAACCAGTTTTTATTGACTGAGAAATGTCTGTGTGATGTATGCTGTTATTGCTTATAAATGTATGGTTTGGCACAGAAAACTTTTAAAATACTACTTAAATACATGGTTTCTTTCTAAATTAATAATATATAGTATCCTATTAAAATATTAGGCATTTAACATAAGTTATTAACTTACTGTTCACTCATCTATCATTCAACGAATGTCTGGTAGGTGTTGCTTTAAAGGATCTCCGTTTTTAACATGCAATCACCGGACACGCCCTCTTCCTGGTTTCCCTCTCCCTAGAGGTCATTGCCAATGGAGCTGAGCATTGCACTCCAACAGGAATGAATGGCCGCTCGGTCCACAGCATATCGGTGGGTCCCAGCTGCAGGCCCTATGCTGCAGGGCTTGTCCCGCACAGGCCTGAGAGGGGGGCCTGTGGCCACACGGGAGGGCGCCTTCTTGCCAAGGTGTTAAGAATGGATGTGTGGGTCTAAGCCCACCCCTGGCCTCAAGGCTGCAAGTCTTTCAGGAAACCCTCTCATGTGATCCCTGTCAACTCGCTGGGAGCTTGTTCTGCTCCAAGCCCTCCCCCTAACCTGTGGTCTGCAAACTGCGGCTCTCGAGCCACATGCTGCTCTTTGGCCCCTTGAGTGTGGCTCTTCCACAAAATACCACGGCCTGGGTGAATCTATTTGGAAGAAGTGGCGTTAGAAGAAGTTTAAGTTAAAAAATGTGGCTCTCCAAAGAAATTCCAATCACTGCCCTCACCCCAGAAGCTGTGGAAGCAGGAAGGCACTCACAGGGCAGAGACCAAGGCCCCACGCCCGGACCCTGCAAGTGCACAGCGCCGGCAGCCACTGTGCCCCAGTGAAGGCTGCACCCGCCATCCACCCCCCTCCACCCCCAGCCCGGGACCCAGTGGCAGCGCGCTGGCACCAAAGACAACGTCTCTGAAAGCAGAAGTCTCCCCAGGTTTGATAGAAAGTGTTTAATTGTCATCTAAAATAAAAACTCATTTTATTGGACTCCGCGGTACCCAGCTGTCTCTCCCACACCCTCCCAAGGACACAGGGAAGGAAAGATGCTGCGGGGGATGTACAGCCACGGGACACAGCGGCCCGGGAAGCGGTGAGAACACGAGGGAGGCTGTCAGACAAGCGGGGAGGGAGCTTGGCACGTGTAGTAAGTTCTCAGTCATGGATCAGAGTTACCCTGATAGACACATGGATGCATCGGCAGGTGCGGGGTCACGTTCACATCCAGCGAACGCCTCCTCGGCACCCTCGGGGGCAGCCGGGCCAGGCCCCTCACTTCCTTACACACGTCTTGGCCAGCGTGCGGAACTTGGGCTCCAGGTGGTCCAGGAACTCCAGCCCCTCCTCCTCCTGCCGGTCGCTGCAGCAGCCCACCGAGCCGGCCGCCGAGCCCCTGCCCTCGTAGTGGTAGGCGCGCACCTGGTCCTCGCAGATCCTGTGCTCCTCGTCTTGTCCGCACAGGTACACTTTCTGCGGCGGGAAGAGCACAGTTTATTATTTTTTAAAGACACCTGAACATATTAGCGTAAAAAAGAATGTCTTGGATTTACCTTTCACTGTTTAATTTTTAATCAGAGTGTGTCCTCTAATGGATTCCTACATATAAAAAATGCACATGGTTGGTCTGTATTACAGTCATTCTCAAAATATAGCAAATATATCAACGCTGCCAGGGGAGACATTGAGGAAAAACTAAGGCTGCACATATATCACAATCCGACCTACTCGTTCCATTTGAACTTAACATTTGTATCATTGGAATGGGTCTCTGTAACGTTTGAGTATTCTATCAAACTGGCTAATATTAACCAGTTGATTAATCTGGACCTAAAACAAGAAACTGAAAACCCCAAACAAAAGTTTAACAGTTTATCTGCTGATGTGGACAGCCAGGACTTCATAACCGTGCGAAGGATTCAGCAGGCTAAGACATGGTCACCATTTATGATGGGGGCACTGCTCTCTAGCAAACGCTTCGCTCGGGTGACCTTCCTTGTGACGTTTAGGGGAGATGCTATCGGTCTTTGTACACTTCCTCCACGGGTCTGCGTAAGCCACTCCTCGATAAAAGTTTTGCAAACCTCATTTTAAAAAAGCGAACTTCACGAAATCCTTTTTTCCTTTGGGATTGGACTTGACATCCATGTCTCTAATAACTCAACATCTAAGAGACGATGAGTTCAGGGTGGGCGAAGAGGTAAACTTTGGGGACGTCCTGATTGACAAGCTGTGTGAACTTCACGTAACATGAACCAAAGACACGGCACTCACCTCGCCAAGCCGGGGCTGGGTAAAGCTGTGCCAGTCGGTGTACGTGTATCTGCCAGCCTCCAGCACGCCCTGCCCCGCCCCCTTGACAGAGTCCAAGGTCTGGTGTCCGCCTCCGCCTTTGACCATCTCAAAGCTCTGCTGTGTTTTGACTCCCTGGCCCCCGAGAGTGCCCACAGACATGCTGGTGTCGCAGACGTTGGAGGTCTGTGTGGGGAGTCTGATGTTTGCCTCCTACAAACAGAGGCAGGGTTAGAACATGAGTGACTCTGATGGAAGCTAACAGCTCACGCTCATGTCTCTCCCACCCCAGGCAAGCCCTTCCTCCTGGGCCTCTCAGCTCCCCATACATTAAGCCAAGACCATCAGACCCCCTAGTATAGGGGTTAGGGTTGAGTGGTGGCCCCCCAATATGTTTATGTTGAAGCCCTAACTCTTAGTGCCTCAGAACAGAATCCTAGCTGAAGGCGGGGCTATTCGGGTGTCACTACGGTGGTGAAATTGAGATGAGGCGGGGCCCTCCTAAGGTGAAATCTGGACAGACACACACACACACACACACACAAGGAGAATGGCAGTGAAAGGCCCAAGACAGCAATTCTCAGGCTCCGTCAGAGAGAACGTGTCCCTGCCAACACCCTAACTGCTAGTCAGAACTGTGAGACCATAAATTCCTAACGTGTTTGTCACTCAATTTGTGGCACTTGGTTATGGCAGCCCCAGGAAGTGAATGCAGTAGAACTATGGGGTTTAAATGACTTAATACACGCAAGGCACGTGGTGCTCCACTTAGCATAGCAAGCGCTCAATAAACAACAGTTGTCGTATTATTGCTACTAGAGGCCAGGTGCATGAAATTTGTGCACAGGGGAGGGGGTGTCCCTCAGCCCAGCCTGCACCTCTCCAATATGGGACCCCTCGAGGGCTGTCCGACTGCCCATTTAGGCTCTATTGGGCCTAAACGGGCAGTCAGACATCCCTCTCACAATCCAGGACTGCTGGCTCCTAACTGCTCGCCTGCCTGCCTTCCTGATGGCCCCTAACTGCTTCTACCTGCCAGCCCGATCACCCCCTAACCACTCCCCTGCCAGCCTGATTGATGCCTAACTGCTCTCCTGCCAGCCTGATTGCCCCTAAGTGCCCTCCCCTGCAGGCCTGGCCACCCCTAACTGGCCTCCCCTGCAAGCTTGATCGCCCCCAAAAGCCCTCCCTTGCAGGCCTAGTCCCTCCCAACTGCCCTCCCCTGCTGGCCATCTTGTGGTGGCCATCTTGTGTCCACACGGGGGCAGGATCTTTGACCACATGGGGGCAGCCATCTTGTGTGTTGGGGTGATGGTCAATGTGCATATCACTCTTTTATTAGATAGGATTGTTATGTAATAAGCTGTCATCAGTGCATCACCGTACATATGAAAACCTTGAAATATGGCTTACCATTACTTCCTCTCCAGGCCCCTCAGTATTTGACACAATTAAGTTTTGCTGGGCTACATCATCTGGAATGCATTTCTTCACTGTTCTCTTAGTAGCAACACAGAAACAGGTAAACAGAGCACCTAAAAAATAAAAATATTTAGGTAAATAATATTATTTCTCAGGCTGACATATATTAAATCATTTAAATCATACAACTGTTCAAAATTCTCTTTTCAGAACTTAAAAAAACACACACCAACCTATCAGGGTTTTTATTTTATAAACTGAGATACCCTTGGGTCATAAAATTAAAACAGAATATTAACAAATGCAGATAGGTTGTGTATAGTTAAATAGATTGTTAATAGAAAAAGACAAAAGGAAGGTGGGAGTGGGAGGGAGGGCAGTGTGGGCAGGAATTTCCATTGCTTTTATAGCTCTAAAAATAGTTGGCAGAATGCAATGTCTTAGCATCTTTGCATGTATTAGTCTTCCTGAGTGGCTCACCATATGACCATTTCCACTCATTCCACTCATTGGAGTATGCTATATCGCTTCACTAAGAATACTCATAATTCGCTTTTCAGGAATTCTTTTTGTGCACTCACTACTACGTAAACTTAGTTGGTTAAAAGACTAATATTATATATGAGAGGGAATCTTAACATTAATTGTATCCAACCTCTCATTTTACATCTAGAAAAAAGAGCTCAAAGAAGAAGAAATGGCTTATCCAGTGTCTCACAGATAGTACTAGAAGAACTGTGGCGATCCCTCTGAAAATCATTCTAATCTGCTTTTATTGACACATTTTTTTTCTTCCGTGACTCAGAACCCTAACTTATCTAGTACATACAAGACTATAAAAAGGGTACATTTAGCAAAGGCTATGCATGTCACCGATATAAAGAACTGCATGTATTTTCTAAATAGTAAGAAAACACGCAGCTGATACAAACTAGGGGCGTGTACTCACATAACAACAGTGCGGAACCCAACACCATGGCAAGAATTGCCCATTTCCCGAGGATCACATTGGGGAGCTTGGCATCTCGGTCCCGTACTTTACTGGTCATTCTGCAGTCAGACGGAGTTGTGCAGTCACACACTCTGACTGACAGCACGTGCTTTGCAGCAAGACCATGTCTGTCTTTTATGGTGATGGGCACAGTGTAATAGTTATAATCCATGTGTTGTTTGGCACGAAGAATGGCAGTTTTACCTAATTGGGGGAAAGAAGACAGAGAATATCTGTTAATGTGACCGCAATATTATTCTGACTTGGAGTTCTGAGGGCGGGGAAGAGGAAGAGGAGGCACAGAATTTAGCTTAGAAGAAAAATTCTAGTGATTCCTCTTTCTTTCTTAAAAATGATTTGAATTCTTGAGAAAAAGGATAATTGGTATTGTTTATGCTTATATTAGAACAATCCATACTTAACATGTTATTCAACTATTACATTAAGATTAATTTATGTTTTCTTAAAATATATCCAAAACAAAATATATCCTAAACTTCATAAATATATTACTTATTGCTTTAAGGAAAGCAAGGTATTATTCTTTGGGGGGGAGGGATCAATAAAAAAAAAAAAACCTTCCTAAAATGAATATTTATTTATTATCATGATATTAGGTAAAAGTTAAGACCAGCCGCCATTTTAAGTTTCTGTTGATGATAAGACTTAGCATAATTACACACCATCCTTTGATCCTAAGGTCCAATGTTTGCTGGCAGAATTATCCAGAAGGAATACAAAAGGTGGGCCATTCTCGGGCCCATCTGCATCATTCGGTGAGAGAACAGCAAAATCCTGAGCATGCTGACAAATGGTCACGTCCTTGTCAACCTGTGGCGGGTGGTCATTGTTGTCTTCCAAAAGAACCACGAGTGTTCCAGTGCAAGATCTGCCACCTGAGGAGAGTCAAAACAAGGCATGTCTTCACTAAACAATGTGTTTCCCACCATCTCTGTGACACACGCGTGGCTGCTTTCTACTAACTGCCTCAACTTGGGTATGGCAGTCACATTCCCCTCTCATTTCTCACTGGCTAGTCACTGACTCGCTGAACTGTGAGCATCGGACAGCCTGGTGAGATGCCTGGTGTGTCCTGGCTAACATATAACTTAATACTAACACACCAAACAGAATTCACTTAATATTTTTATACACCTGGGTTTTCCATGAGGCTGGGACATAGATTTCTACATTTTAGATTTGCCATGTCATTTTTTGTGTTAATACTATAGACAAATTTAACATATCTCTGTACTCCATGTTTTCCAGCTCTCCAAAGAGTGCTTCATTCACCAAGCTTCTGTATTTGTGTGAAATCTGCTTTTATCTTTTAATCTAGGTAGCTCTTAACTGATTTACACTTCTGATGATATCCATACTTTCTTTTATACCATGGAATCTACTATGAAAATATACTAATCTTTTAATTGATAGCATGTGAATTTAAAAAAAAAATCTTCACCCAAGGACATGCTTGGAGAGAGGAAGTGGGGGTGGATCCAGAGGGAGGGAGAGAGAGAAACATTGATGTGAGGAGAAGAGAAAGAAACATCCACCACGTGCTTCTGTATGTGCCCCAACAGGGATCGAACCTGAAACCTAGCTATGTGCCCTGACCAGGAATTGAACAGTCAACCTTTCTGTGCACTGGACAACACTCAATATACCGAACCACTCCAGCCAGACAATATCATGTGAGAGTTTGACCTTGACTTATAAATTCTAGTTTCTATTGTAACTTGTCTAGACAATCAACGCTTGTGGAATAAATGAGTAGATATAAATTCTTGTTTGACAGCATACTTGTGGTTTTGAACGATTCAGATTTCACTTTTACTTATTCAGGAGCAGAAGTTCACCCAAGATTATGGAATGATGGCAACATTAGTTCTGTCTCTCAATTAATGGTCTCCCCATTCTTTGGTAGTTTTTTGTTTGTTTGTTTGTTTGTTTGTTTTGTTTTGTTTTCCTATATTGAAGGAAACTACATTAAAAGTAGGTGAGCCTGTCTCAACCTATGACTGACCAATGTAATGGCTAGCCAGCCACCATGGTTCTTATTAGGATTGCAAAATGCCCTCAGGAAACTCGGAAAAAAACAAGTCTTTTACTTGTTTTTAAAAAACAAGAAATTCCATGGCTCACAGGGTGCAGTGGGGTGGGTGGGGTGGGGTTAGGTGGAGAAGGAAAGCCTGAGGTCAGGGTGAGGAGGACCCGAGGGGATCCCAAGCTCATTCTTTATTGGTAAATTTAAAACATAAGCGCAGGGATGTAAAGAATGAGGAGTGGGAAAGCCGCCTGGCTGGCAACATATTGATTCAAGGCAGCCATGTTTGAAGTAAACCTCAAGTCAGGGACCTGCACTTGCAAAGCAAAGCCAACAGCCAGTGAGCACACTAACTACCCAGCACTGCCCCATGTTCAAGATGGCTCACATCTGGAGCATATGTTCACTAGGTTTGAGAGGCTGCTTTATGACATTTGGAAAACATTTCTTCACAAGACAGGTAGGTTCTAGAACTAACCTTAGCAAAGGACTGCAAACTACAGCAAAAGACTTGTTCAAGACTCATTGCTTGATCATTTCTTTGGGGAATAGGACAAACATTTTATTCCTCATTTAGGACAAACCTATCCTGAACCCAACTGTTTTTGGTGGTTGGAACCTTTTCAGCATGATCATGGTAATCTTTTCAATACCTGTCATAGTAATCTAGCTTGGACATGGTGGCTCAGTGGTTGAGGGTTGACCTATGAACCAAGAGGTCACAGTTCGATTCCTGATCAAGGTCACATGCCCAGGTTGTGGGCTCCATCCCCAGCGTGGGGTATGTAGGAGGCAGCCGATCAATGATTCTCTCTCATTACCTCATTATTGATGTTTTTATCGCTCCCTCTTCCTTCCTCTCTTAAATCAATATGTATATTTTTTATAGACATAGTAATCCAAATGTATATTCCTAACAACAACAACAACAACAACAAAAATGGAAGTCCTGAAGGAAGCCAGAGGTCAGAGATCAGTAATATGGATCTTGAACTTTGGATTCCCACCTCTGGTTTTGCGTTACTGGGGCCTAAATTGGGTGGTCTCCAAAAAAACAATGCAACCATAATGCAAATAATTTTTGCAATAAATTTTGATCTGGAAATAAGCAAATTTCACCCTAAAATTTTATTTCAATTATATCCCATGTTTATATGTTATTTCTAGAAAGTTGCACCTACCTGCATCAGTTGCAACCACAGAAACATTGTACTGGTCATTTTTCACAAACTTTGACTCTCTGTCTAGCACTTTCACAGTTCGCAGGTCGCCAGTGTTTTCGTTAATTTCAAACCAGTTATCTTCATCTCCTAACTTCTTATACCTATTTTAAGAAATCAAATGTAAATGCTCACACTGAAAATGGACATCATCTCAATACCTGTCATTTTGAAAAATACATAGAACTTTCCTAAATTTGAAATCAACTGACATCCCAATTAAAAATAAGGAGCTTTATGAAAAAAAAAAATGCGTTACCTTAAGCCTTCCCCGCTGCGTGTTTCAGGATCCATTGCTTTGTACCCCAGCAGCTCCTGGCCGGCGGGGAGGCCATCTTTGCTCTGAATGACCTTCACCGGCGGCTGGCACTCGGGGCCCTCGTCGCTGTCTTTGACTTTAACGGTGACGGTGGTCGTGCACATGGTAGGAGGCTGTGAGTTCGGTACGCTGGAGAACTGCGCCTCGTTAACCACACCGATTTGCAGAGTGACTTGGCGATTGACTTCATAGTTCAATGGCTGTTAGATAAGCATATTTAATTAGTCAATATATAACACTACAGAGAGAAGACTTCTAACCATGATTCCAAGTTTTAACACAAAAAGGAGCATCATTTTTATGCATACAATGTTACCAAAAAGAAGGTGCTAATGTGATTGAAGACTAATAATTAGCTTCCTATAATGACAAATGCTATCAATGCAAAGTTTCTGTTTTTAAAACTTTACTAATTTTCCTTTTCACTTTTCTTTGGGAAGATCCTGCCTTTGTGTGTGTGTGTGTGTGTGTGTGTGTGTGTGTGTGTGTTTTAAGTTTAAATATTAATAGGAATACAGAATAAATGTTTGACTAAATTCAAATATATTACCATTTATGTTATTACTTATCAAATGGCATAACAGTGGTAATCAAAACAGCAAAAGTCCCTTCAAGCTCAGTGCATGAAATAGATAGACTGCTGGCATATGAGATTGGCTATAATGGTGCAGTTACCTGAGTATATGAGTTAAAAGACATAATCATATTATTTAGCAGCACCTTTCAAAGGACATTATATTTGGTTTGCTTAGTACCTAAACAAAATGCTTGGTCTTGAACAGAATAATTAGAAAGAATCCAAAACAATAGTTAAATAATTAGAAACTGGACTCTAAAGAAAACAATAGATAGAAATCTAGAAGTTCACCCTTCAAAAAACAAAAACAAAAACAAAAAAACAGAGAGAGAGAGAGAGAGAGAGAGAGAGAGCAAGAGCGAGAGCGAGAGCGAGAGCGAGAGAGAGAGAGAGAGAGAGAAAGAGAGAGAGAGAGAAGGAATACGTGGTATAATCATTAAAGGTCCTTTTCTAAAAATCTTATGAGGAATCACAATTTGTACATAAAGCTTCTAACACAATAGAGTCTCTAAGAAATGAATGAGGAAGTCTATAACAGGTTAGAAAGAGCTATAGGCAGAAGGACTTAGAATAGAACGAGGTTCGGTTAAAGTAATCATTGTAGGTGCCAGTAATTATAATTAAATCTTTAAAACCTAAAGCACTGGCCATCCCAAATATAGGGGGATTAGTGGGAATGGCTGCTTTATATTCAGTAGATTGTCTTATAAAATGCACTACGGAGAGCCAACAAAATAACACGAGCATGAAGGGAATTGGAAAGTCAAGAGGTTTGATTTCAAAGAGTGATTCTCTCTGTCTATTGTTCTAGAAAATGGACAAGGGTGTGTCTTAGAATCCTTCTCAAGCTAATCTCCGATTAGTAATGCAGTATCTCTCTGCCTTGGCTTGCCTCACCTATGGAACAATGAGTTTTGTGCCTGCCATGCCTTTCCTCTAATAGAGAAAATAATAATAATAAAAACAACAATAATAATTTTTAAACCAGTGTAATCATTTCAACATTGCATTGACATTCTCTGGTCACATACACACAGGAATGTATACACATACACATACATATATATCGATGCCTATACATCAGCTAAGATACCAATTAGAAATCAATTAAAGCATTGCTAGATTATTATTTTTTGTTTGTTTACCTTGACAACACACAAGACTGCCTCATTTGTATTTGGGTCCGTGCTGATTTTGAAGTTGCCATTCTCGTTTCCCTGCAGGATTTTGTACACGGCCTTTGAGTGAGCAGTGTTTGGCAGGTCCAGGTCATGAACCGCCATTCGTAAAATCTCAACATCAATTCTGTTTTCTTCTACTTCTGCAAAATACTAAACAAATTGCCTGCTGTTATTATAAATTTGTAGCTTTAACAATATGATCTTCTCCTCCAAAACTTATATTTAAAGTAAAAGAAAGCAAAGTAATATGGAAATGTGCAATATCTTTTTACCCTTGAAAGACTAACTTATATCTTAACTCTCCTACTTCTCTGAGGCAATTTTCCTACTCACATTTGTCTCTATTCTGAATCTGTAACATTTACAGTGTACCACCCCCTTTCAGATATAGCAAGCACTTAAGAAATGTTTTATAGTTAAAGATTTAGCCTCTAATATTTATAGATAATTATAACCTACATGCATTTCTTATTTTTACTGGGTGATCTGTTTATTATGTCAATTATTTAAAAATTTACTTTTGATTCACTGGCAAACATTTTAAGGAAATAGTTTTTCTTTTTCTTTTTTTTTTTTTCTTTTTTAGAAATTAAATCAGAGTTTCTTCCCACTTCCAAAAAATAAGTAAGGTTATGGGAGCATATGAAACTAAAAGACTAAAACAGTAGTAAATCAGAATCTTCTAGAGATGTAGGATGAACTCAGAGAAGGATGTCAGCCTCAGAGCTTTAGGAACAAAACAGATTTTGAGTCTCACCCCAGTTTTTCTCTCACTTGGTTCACACCAATGAGATCAGAAGCAAGTCACCTAACTGGCCTTCCATTCCCTCATAAGAAATATGGAGGAAGTCCTATCTTTACAAGTTATAGCAATTAGTGTAAACAATTGTATGGACGGCTCATCACTGCAGGCGTTCACTTCTTTGATTTGTACTCTGATATTCATGAATGGAAAGATGAAGGTCACTTTCTAAAAGGGCAAGAAAGAAGGAGTATTTCCTGGAACCTTCCTCCTGCCTATGCTTCCTGTTTTGTGTAGCCCCGAAGGGAACATTTGCCCCATATGAGACATGTGAGGAGTCTGCACAGAGATGGCGGTGGGCCAGCCTAGACCACTGACCCCCCAGCAGAGTGAAGGCTGGGACGTGAGTCTTCCTTCATCCCTCAGGTGCTCAAGCACAAGCGACACGGAGAGGGCCTCTTCGCCTTCACCCCATGAGGGGCGCTTAAACCCAAGGACTCTGATGCCACAGCGTGGTGTCCAGGAACACGCTGACTGCATGAACGGCTTCAGGGGCCAAGCAGCTTTCATGCGGCCGAGGAGACAGTCATGACCCTCCGCCCGGGAAAATGGGCCCCTCGGTGATTTTTAAAGAAATCCTTTTATTTTTGCCTATTTGTTTTGAAGTGGTAGCTATGAAAACCAAAATGTGCCCTCTCCCAGAGCTAGCTCATTCTAGATCTGTGTTTTTGAAGAGGTAAATGAACTCAGACACATGGATACAGAGATATATATACTCACAGAATTTTCTGTGAAATATGGTGAATTGTCATTTTCATCTTGGAGTGAAATCGTGATTGTTCCTGTGTTAAACAAACCAAAATGTTGGCCGCCCATGTCTCGGACCTCCATTACTAACTGGTATGTGTCACATTTCTGAAAAAGGGAGAGGGCGCATTGATGAACATCCTCCCCCACAAAAAGAAAAAATGAGCATAAATAACAACAGAGCAAGAGATTGGTCAGTCAGAACAATGGGAAGCTGATAACCTTTTAAAACTTAAAAGCCATTTTTTTCTATTTCGGCCCCCGATCAAGCCAGCAACCTCAGAGGAGACCCCGTCTCACACGTGTCCCTGCCCAGGCCTCTGCACAGACACAGAGGAGGGAGGCGTGCGGAGGAGCCCTCGCAGGAAGCACGCGTGGGGCGGCGGCCGGGCCCTGTGTCATTCCTCCCGGGGCTCATTGTCAGTTCAAACGCAGGGGAGTGAGTGGGGAATTAATCAGCTCATTACTTCTCGGTCCAGTAAGAGCGAAGTGGTGGTGATGACGCCTGTGTCCGGGTGGATGGAGAAATGCTTCGGGTGATCGGGGATTTGCTGTAAGATTTTGTATTTCAGACGAGTGTGCAGAGTGTCAGGCTCGTCGAGGTCGATGGCAGTCACTTTCCCCACTGAAGTTCCTGTTTAAGGAAATCCAGTGTTGTCAGTCATCTAAAATAGCAAGACTGCAAACGTAAATAAAAGCAGGGCCTTGCTAAAGCATGTTCTCCCCCAGCCACGAGTGTATGTGTTACAGGTAAGGGGAGGAGCATGAATGCTCTCCAGAACGCCGGGCTTCCCTGGCTTTGGAAGTCCAGAGAAGGGATTCCTGTGAAGAACAGGATTTGTGGCTACAGCTGGGAGAAGCCCACCCCCCCTCAGTACCTGTGGTTCTCAACCCCCCGCCTCTGCCCCCCCCAGTTCACGGGCCACTATTGGATGGGACCGACTCTGTACATCTTGTTTCCTTTAGAGTCCAACTTGATGATGTTAACTAGAGGAATAGTACAGCTGTGCATATGATGAAGGATTTGTGCTTTTATAAGTTTTAATAAATGTGCTGAATTATTATTATATGCAAGTGTTTATTAATGAATGTAAGACACAAACCTTTTGCCTCAGGCTGAGCTTTATGGCCCAGAAATCAGTGTACTGAATATGGCTTTGACAAACCACTTGTTTTAGGAGAATAATATTAAATATACACATGTGATGGCAACAGACTAGAGAAGCTAAGAACAACATTTCTTGCAGGTTTTTTTTAAAAATTAGGCAGTCTTGTCGGGCCTCTGGGTATACCAAGATCAAGATTTTGGCAGCCCAGAGCATCAAACAAGTTTAAATTATTTTTTTTCGTTTTGTCTGAAAAATATACCAAGTAAAGCAACGTATATTGTTATAAGTCAGATTCGCCTTTTCTTGCTATGATATAGTTCTAGGTCCTTGAAAACGTAGCGAGACTTTATAAATATTCAAATTATTCTGTTTTATAAATACATCTGCGACAGAGATGTACAAGGTCAAATTAGAAAATATAAATGGCATTTGTCACACATTCATATTCGTTGTGGATTAATCTAACAAAGTTAGTGACTTTATGCATTAGCTGGCTCCTATAAGTGCACAGCAAACTGAGCACAAACAGGTTTGCATTTGAAGAGTATATGAGCTCATAAACATTTAAACATGTTTAGCATAAACTGCTTAGGACAGTAATGAGTAAAACTCTAGTGTTTTCCTGAACTTGAACTTGCCGGTTCTGCAGTTTTCAGGCACAGTAAAGATGGTCACTTTGTTTTCAAAATACGGGGCATTGTCGTTATCGTCCTCAACCTTGAACAGCAAGGGGAGTGGGTACTCCGGGGCGTACCCATCGGCGGTGGTGGCGTAGGCGTACAGCTGGAAGGCAGACAGACACCACAGCTTACTCTTACACAGCAAATAAGCACAGCGTTAAACCTGGCCGCTGGGGAAGGACAACATTCTAGAAGGTATATGTAACTAAGAACGTAGGCCGCAGAGAGACAGCACACCACACGGTGTAGGCTGGCCGTGTGGCTTCACCTTCCTTCAACACCGTTATCCCCCCAGTGCCATGCCCGCCAGCTGAGGAGACAGTCTCCTCCCTGAGTTAACATTCCGTGTATTCTAATGTTCCTCTCATGAGAATACATGCAGACTTCTCCCGGTTATGCTAATAATAAGCATTTTTTAAGCTTATTAAAAAACACACACACACAAAATTCTATTTACTTCCAGTTAATATATCAACTATCTCTGGGTGACTCAATTATTTTTTTCTCTATTTGCTTGAGTTTTCTCATTTTTTCTACCAAAAACATGCATTTCTTATGTAATAAAAATGCTAATCAATACATAGACAGCTCAAAATTATATATCTTGGCCGAAAATGTCAGCATTGAATGTCTTTCCCTTTCAACAACACCACATTATTTCTGCACTTTTATGTGGTCTGTGCCTCGTTCAGTGGTCAGTGAATGGCTGTTGAGTTGAGCAGGTTTTCTTCACTGACAGACCAACCAATCCTGCCCACAGTGAAGTCTGTGTGAACTCGGTTCTTCTCCACGCAACCGGCTCTCCCTGATTTCCCCACTGTGCCCATCTTCTAAAACGAACCAGAATTAAAACTCAGGTACGTAAGTCCTCCCTTCTCTCAATAGCCTTTTCAGCCAGTTGCCAAGTCCCAGCATTTATGGCATTTCTATGTCGCTATCATCTGTCTGGTCTGTGACTGGGCCCCCTCTCAGAACGATTACATCAGGATTTCTTGGGATAGGCCAGAGCAGGGTAATTTTTTCTAAAGTTCTCATGCCATATATACAGTACAGGCAGGGTTGAGAATAACTGAACTATGTTGTTGTAGGGAACTTTGAACTCAATAAAATGAACAGGTGTTGTCCTAGCATTCCCTGGACCGAAACCTGCCCTTGAAAATTCTGTCATATTTTCTATAGTCCCCGCTCCCCACTTTTCTTCCCTTTTCTACCCAGTATGTCCCATGTTTTTTAAATTCTTATTCATATTCTGAATGTACAAAGTCACAAACTCTATAAAGAAGACTACATATCTGTTGTCTTTCTTCATCAATGGCATCAGTAGAAATTTGAAGTTTATATTTCACATTATCTATATCAGATATCGATAATAAATTATTGATTCTTTTAAAACATAAACAAACAATGCTGAAAATATTAAGGCAGTCCTAAACAACATAATTCTTCATAAGAAATCCAATAACCTTACCGGAAACTCTTGATATTGCTCGCGATCGATGCTTCGCGTACAGAAGATGTCCCCAGTGTCTTTATTAATGAAGAACAGATTGAAGGGCTCTTTGTCCACTCCTGGTCCACTGATCGAGTAAAAGATGGTGTAGTTCTGTGCCGCATCCGATTGGACCTATCGCAATGAGTGACAACTTAGGATAAGACATAACTTCAACCTAACATCTTGCGATGGTTGATATTTTTATCACTTGCTTTCTTTCCTACTATTCTTTCTTTTCTCTGTTTATCTACCCAGTATGCCTCAGGTTTTTTAAAATTCTTATTCATATTCTGAATGTACAAGGCCACAGACTCTATCACTTATTTGACCACAAATTGTTTTGTTATCTGCATATTTATGGATAATTCATGGAGTTGAATATACTTGTATAATTCTTGTCCACTTGTTCCTATTCTTATATAAGTAATAGTAATAGTTTTGGTAATTTTAAATTATTTGGAATGAAACACTTTATGATGGAAAAAAAGGAAAAATATTACAAATTTCTTCCCGCAATTAATCTTCACTAGTTTCAAAGCTGGCCTATGTTTACACACCAGCTATGTGGCAGTGACGCTACATTTGTGATAAACAGAAATATCGGAGACTCTTTTGCAAGGTTACATGATAACTAGAAGGTTAAGTTATGCAAAATGGGTAAGCATGTCCTTTGCACGTGAGTGCCAGGATGGTAGGGCATTTAGAAAAATCTGAGCTCCAGAAACTCAAAATATAAAACTCTCTAAGTGCTAAGTACGTTTTCTGGAGGAAAGCAACAAATTACACTGACTCACTCCTACAGGCCCTTATTCTGGTGAATAGATGGTTGGTACCAATAGATTAGTACCAATAAGTCCAAACCCTCCTTCAAAACACTGTGCAATTCAAGTGGGCAATGCAAGAACAAACAAACAAACACCCTCTCACATGCCAGTCAGACAACATGCATGTACCTGCTGGACGTGCTGTGGGAAGGGGCCTAAGGAGTTCTCCATCAGGGAACAGGGGATCGGAGCCCAGCGCCGCTTGCTGCGCTTGAGGGCTGTGCTTTTGGCGTGTCTCTTTCTCAGAACCTGCGTTTGGGGAGAGAGAAATGTGAGCTGCTTGTCATTCGGGAGCTGTGATGCTAGCATTTATGTCAATAGGAAAATAGTAAGGGTGTCCGTAACACTATCATGGATAACCAACCCCAAACTATTCCTGTTTTTCATTATTTTATTGATAAGATACAACAACACATACACGAGTAAGAACCAGTTTCACCAAATTCCAGTTAAGTAACCAGAACTTTAGAAGGTATTGGTATAAGAGGTCATCTTGAGAAGTATAGACTCCCTAAAAATAGCTAATTTATTAATGAATATTTAAGAATTGATTTTCTTCCATTAGAAAAGGTACAACCAATGTTTTTAAAAATTCTAGCTGCATTTCAAATCATTTGGGTACCTATATAAAGATACAGGTCGGCATTCATTCAAGTATGTTTTACGTGATACGGAGATTCCTTACAATTTTGACATAAAACAATGTTTTAAAAACTCTGAGCATGTTCTAAATTTGATGAAGAGGAGTCCTTGTGATCAAAAGGAATTTAGATGGAAAAGTCTCATAAATGGAATCACTTATTAACAACTGACTTTATAAGACCAAGTTCATGTGTAGAGTTGGCTTGAGGTGAGATTTGTGTGAATTGCAGTAACCTTCGCCTTTCTTACTCCCTGATCACCACCAATCGCTGTAAGAAAGTGAGTCTGGAGTCAGAACTTTCCAACCAACCTGGTGGTCTGGCCATTATCTGTTTCTTGAAGAGAAGGAGCCCTGGGGTTCTCAGTAAGATGGGAGTGAGCCTGAGACAATCCCTTCCCTTTGCAAAGAGACTCACCCCCAGTCAGCAGGGAGAGAGCGCTCGGGTGGAGCGCCACACCTCCAGCCTGAATCCATCTCTGTTTCAGGCCCACCCGGTCTTGTTCTGCAGGTTGGTTGTTCTTGCTGCCACACCTCAGAGCGCTCTCTGGAACCTTTGATATTCTGACTTTGCTCCCTGGCTACAGAGATGTTCATTTTCACACCACTTTGCAAATAGCTCCACCACTTCTTAAAACAGTCTAGTATCTGCACATGTTCATTATCAGTGGGACAGACAAATAGGTGAGCATTCAAAACCATGATTTTAACAGGGAAGGAGGCCTAGGAAATGAATGACTCACATAAGCAGACCAGTATGGTCAAACCTTTGTCTAATATACCTTCTTTCCTATTGCTTCCAGCACAATTTCCATCTCCCTCTGCTCCAGCTGCTGACTGTCTGAGAGGAAAATGGAGAAACTCTTTCTCGGAGGAGACAAGACGAGGTCATGTGTTGTGTAAACGGAGCCATCTTGTAGAACTCTGAAGTCGGGATCGCTGGACCGGATTAGGCTGGCTGACTGGAGACACTCCCTCACGTTCACTGGGGGAAGAAATATCACAGTAATTTGTAAGATGAAACAGCAATAGAACATGTTTTACAGGAATGGCAACGGCAAGTTAGCGCATGAGAAGCAGAAAGTGACACTTGGGATTTGTTGAGTACCGGCTGCTCTGACACTGAGAAGCCATGAACATTAAGTAATTAATTTAATGAAGTTACATTTTCCACTGCTTTCATCATAAGAGTTAATTTATGAATAGACATAAAACATTTTATTAGTGTCACCAAATTTATTGTTTCCACTTTACATTTTACTCATGGATCTGTGCATACATATAAAATTTGTTGGTTTATATTGTATTAGTAAGCTATGACATCAGTAGAGTTTGAACATGTTTGCAGTAATCTTTGATAGTTAAATCTTGCCCACACAAAAGTACATAAAACTGGTCTGTACTTATATAATACTTCTCAGTAATATTGCAAATAATTATTTCATATCTTTTGAAGGTCTAATAAATGAAATACTTTGTATGTATTGTGCTTGTTATCAAAATGTTTCTTTTACAGATTTATATTTAACATATTTAGCATATTTATTGTGTGACTTCAGAGTACAGACTGTATTTCATTGAAATGTTCTTTAAAAATATATATATACATATATATGTGTGTGTGTGCATACACACACACACACACACACACACACACACATATATATATATATATATATATATATATATATATATATATATATGGAATTAATGTAAAGCCCTGGTCCAAGCAATCTCTGTCTCACAGAGAGCAGCACCTGTGCATTCCGAGTGCGTTTTCCTAAGTGTAACCTTGAGCCAATGAAAAGCCTGTCGGGAGGAATGTTGTCTTTGGACTCAGAACAACCAACCTACGCTTCCGATATGGCTGCGATAGTAAGACCAGTTCCAATTTCGTTTGACTGTCACAAGATGGTCTGTGAAGTAGATCACATAACTTCTTGCGGAGTATGGCTCATCGTCATCAATCTCAAGCACACTTTCCATCGGAGGCACAGAGGTTTTGACACATCTGTTTCACACATTAGCAGTGGAAGAATCTTGGCTTTGGAATTTGGGAAGCAGGTTAGTCAACATGAACTAAAATACACTTCTGCTTTTGGTGTCTTTTTTTTTGAGATTTTATTTTATTTTTATTTTTTCTGTAGTTTTATTTTATTTTATTTTCAGTTCAACAGAAGTTTATTTTTATTTTTTTATTTTTTAAATATATTTTATTGATTTTTTTTTTTTTTTTTTTTTGCTTTGCACTAAAGGAAGATAATTTAGCCCGCTGTTGTTCACTAATTTTTCTGGCATGAAAGTGTACAACCTACTTGCACGTTAGTTGTTTCTAACCACTGTCAGAAAACAACCACTTCATCTTTCATTTCATGTCACATGTATCTACTATATGGCTTCTATCCCAAGCTTTACAAGAGCAGCCAAAAGCGGAATGCAGCAGTCAGAGCTGTGGAATTCCTAATGCTGTTTCTCACCTTTGCCTACAAGTGTTTCAGCTCGAAGATGAGAGGGAACTTGAAGAGAGATTTTCTGACAAGCATCGCAAAACAGAATTAAAACCTCAAAAGAAAGAAAAATCAAGAGTTACATTTGATGATAAATGTTCACATTACAGTTTTGTCTTATTGATAAAAATATTGTCAATTTCAGCAACAAAGAAATGTCCTAACCCTTCATTATTCCAATCTTTATTTTCAAAGGGAAAAGCAAAGAAAGAGGCTTGAGGGACACCAGGGTCATGTATTATCAATGAAATAATTAAAGTGAGCAGTAGTTCTTGGCACCTAAATCACATTAAAAACTCAAAGAAAACTTGTTACCAACCACTGATTTTATATGGAAATTATCATCTTTAATGTCATTTATAAGTGTCAATCTGATTTTTTAGCATAAAGCAAATACTTAACCCTTGAATATAATAAAACATACTACACAAACCACCATTTTCACAGACCCCCAAAATTTGAGGTTATAGTTGATTAAGTCTAGAAAATATTTGAAAATTATTTAACAATACCCAAAATAATGATATGAAATCATTCTTTGGATTGGCTTAGCACAAACATCAACGTCTAACTAGTCTCACTCATCAACTAATCTCAAAATACAGAGTGTAGCCTTCAACGGGGTAAATGATTCTAATTAAATGTAAGACACAACTATTATCTCAAAAAGCCATCAGTTCAAGGAAAGAAGGTTTATTTGCACCAACATCAGTACAGAAATGTGAGTAATATGTTGTCTGCAATGTTAGGACAGCTACAATGTCACAAGACAATGGGAATTTTTCAGTTCCATTAGGGTCTTATGGGACCACTGTTATATATGTGCAATTAGAAAATATTTGTCTTCAGTTTTAATTTATATAACCACTTTTTAGAACATGATATGTTTTAATTTATTTGACTTTTCAATATTTTTCTTCCTAATGCCAAGGAATGAACTAAATTATGTCTAAAGACCTTTCTGAGCATAAAGAAGTCTATTACTAATCATCTAATTATATACTGTGAAGAATATTTTATAATTAGAAATATGTATACAAATAAAATCGACACATATACATACACATACTTACACACATACATATATTACACACACACACACACACATACACATACATTATTTTCACAGGATATATTCATATTCCCATTCCTACACCCATCATCTCTCCTTCCTGCCCAGAACCCACAACTATTGGTTATGCCTTTGCCAGCAGAGCGAGTGGAAGGCTCCAGAGCTACCATCCTAAGTGCTCAGGCTAAGATAGCAGCTTAGCGATGCAGAGGGGATTGGGGTTAGACACCCTCTGGTCATCAGGAGGACAAGGGATGGATGGGCAAGGGATGAACCAACGGAGGCTGGACAGACAGAGACTAAAAGCAAAAGAAATCTCAGCAAACCCTTGGAAAGCGTTCACACATTTTACCCAACTAGTGCTAACTCAGCTAGGTCTCCAAGTTTTATCCCCTCCAGGCAGTTACAGGACGAGTACAAACCATCAGTCCCACATCATGTATAATATTATTTATATGGAGAAAATATTTGTCCCCATACAATAAAATATTTACATTCTGAAAATACAATTCGAAGTTAAAATATTTTGCCAAAACGTAAAGAGGAGGAAATTCAGTGCTCAGAAATGCCAGATATGTGGGAAAACTCAGCTCTGCCCCTCTCCGCCAAAACCAAAAGTAGCACCGAGTACACAGTGATAACGTTATTAAGAACCTAAGTGGGCCCTGGCCAGCGTGGCTCAGTTGTTTGAGCATCGTCCCATGTACCAAAAGGTTGCCTGTTTGATTCCTGGTCAGGGCACATGCCTAGGTTGCAGGCTTGATATCCCCAGTAGGGGGCGTGCAGGAGGCGGTAGGTCAATATTTGTCTATCATCATTTCTCTCTCGGCGATATTTCTCTCTCTCCCTCCCTTCCTCTCTAAAATCAATAAAAACATTAATAAACACACACACACACACACACAAAGAGGAGGCCACGTTAAGGTCATGTCTTCAATGACTATCACATTATTATTATTTTCCCCAAGGGACACCTTTTCTTTAAGGGCTCCGCCCTTCTCCTTGCTCTCCCCAAGTTAAGAAAGTCTTGAATAATTCGCATCTTCACCCAGAATACTTTCCATCCTCTCCCAGCTTAACAGCACTAAGCATGTTAAGTAACCGCAGCTTATTTAGTGACTGGTAGCCAGAGCAAACCTCAGAACCTTCCGGGCCAGATGCCTGAGGAGTGACTTCACCCCACGGTCCTGCTTAGACATCACCACAGCCAGACTGCACCGGGGTTCCCTTCAGACACTAAGTGTGTCCTGGGCCCTTGGAGGTTCAGCGAAACACCTGCCCCCTGGGTCTCCACGCTCCCGGGGGTCTCTCTCAGATCTGTTTTCTCTCTCCCAGCTCACTCCTCTGTCCCCACCCTGTCCCCTCCTCTCCCAGGCCCAGCGGGAGGGTAAGCTGGCGCGTGGTGACCTGCCCGAATCCTTAATCCCGGCTGTTACTCACCAGGAGAGAGAGCAGGAGCTGCCTGCAGAGGAGGCTGCCCGGGGCGGCGGAGGCCTCAGCCATCACAGCGGTCCCGGTGGCCGGGGACGGTGGCCGGTGACAGGGCAGCTGGGGGAGCACCAGGCGCCCAGCAGGCTCCCAGAGGCTGGCACCGAGCAGGGCACTGCTGCCACCCTGGCCCACACCAGCTCAGTTTGGAGCAGAGTCAGGAGAACTGCTTCCCTCCTGTTCCTGGTCAGCCTTTCTCCATCCAATTCCCTCTGCCTGTAAGAGGTTTGCCCGCGAGTGGGGCGGGTGGGGTACACCTCAACCCAAACCCAGCCACTGGCTCCTCCTCACTGCAGCTTTCCAAATGTCCCCGCCACTGACACATCAGCAGACGGGGGGAACTCCCCGCTCCCGGCCCTCCTCCCTCCCCCCAGGTTGATGCTCTGAAGTCCTCCCCAGTCATTACCCCCTCCCACGGCCTCCCCTCCCCCGTGGCCTTATTAACCTATCTTGCCCCCGGGTGCGGTTGTGCACAACTCCATGCGAGGAAGCGACACCCACTCAGCTGCATTGGCAAATCCGGGGACACGGGCCCTGCGATCATATCACAGCAGCTATCTCCCCATCTGAGCATCTGGGTGGAGGCCGGCTCACCCAGGCAGCAGGCACTCCTCGGCAGCTCACCATGCAGCCTGTCTGCTCCCTAGCTGTCTGCCCTCGGAACTTACCAGAATGGATAGAGTCCTCAGAAAAGTGAGAGAGTAAAGAAATGGCTGGGATATGATCTTCTTGTTGCATTCTTTTTATTGTGCATGAAGCAATGTTTTTTTTTTCTTGAGTATTTTTATTCAAAAGCAACAACTGTCTGAGACGCACTGTCTTTAACATCACTCTGTTCATCGAATTACTTGTACATGACATGCAGGACAGCCTAGCCTAAAAGCAGGAAATGCCATCAAGATTATTCTTTTAAACACTCATGACTCTGCCTTAGCCTGTTTGGTTCGGTGGATAGAGCATCAGCCTGTGGACTGAAGGGTCCCAGGTTCGATTCTGGTCAAGGGCTTGTACGTTGGTTGTGAGTACATCCCCAGTAGGAGGTGTGCAGGAGGCGGCTGATTGATGATTCTCTCTCATTGATGTTTCTAACTCTATTCCTCTCTGTAAAAAAATCAATAAAATATATTTTTAAAAACAACAACACTCATGACCTTTGCAGCGAGGGCTTTAGCACCAGATCTCCTGCCACAATGTAGTGAGCTCAGTATCAATTGCACACGACACTCATGATGGCATTTGAGGAAGGAGGGGCAATGTTTTCAAGTGGTAATTGCTTAATTTGGGGGGGAGAGAGGGAAGGAAAAGAAACCATCATGGGCATTCCAGCGAGGACTCCTTTTCAAGGATGAAGCCGTGAGAAAGCAGGCATCCTCGGCCCGTGACCCCCAGACACTGGGAAGTGCACATCTGGACCGGTCTCATGGCCACCGAGCGCAGTCTCTCTGAAAAGGAGCAGGAAGTATGGGTCGGGTTCCTGAGGAATCTGCCCGGCTGGACAATAAGCCCATGTGAGACTAATAAAAGGTCTCCAGAAACACCCGAAATCTCCTATTCTAACAGCGATCGTTCTAGAATACCCCATCGGGGCTCTTCTTGCGTGAGAGTCATCCTGCAGCGAAGTAAAACGGCTGGTAAACCAGTTACTTTCTAAGTTTTCATACCAGAAATTACTCTTCCTGCTCTTGCTGCTCACATTCTTTCCATCTCGTGCTCAACTGAGGAGGGAGGGGTCCCAGGCGAAAGAAGGACGGGACGTTTTCTCTGGCTGCTTTGACACGAAGAGCAATCCTTCCTGTATGGGAGGTGAGAATAACCACGTTACTGCTTCTCTGCCAGAGAGATTTTGGAAATAAAAGCTCTGGGCCAAGAACTAAAAGATATCTTTGTGGTATTTTATTGCCATAGGGATAGCCACCAGTAAGTATATTTTATGTCTGCGTTGAAATTTGATTTCTCAATAAGAAAATAAAATACTTTAATGTAGTTCTTTTATATATAATATTTTGGGAGAAAAGAATGGAAATGCAGAAATAGGAATAATCACTGAAGTGGGTAAGTATAGGCCCATGTGTAACTCTGTGTGTGCATGTTTCAACATTTAATTATCTAAGTGTGTATTTAACTGTATACGTCTGTAGCTTAAAGATTCAAGTTCTCCAGTACTGGACAGTGGAAATACATGTTCCTCTAATGAAGTCATTGCTACATCTTCCTGTATTATGGAAATGGCAAAGGATGCATTACAAAAACCAGACTGGCGATGCTGAAAAGTGAGCTCGTGTTGCCTTCTGGAGAGATGAGTGGATTGCTAAGTTCTTGTGAGTCCAGAATAGTCTCCTCAGTTCTGCAAAGTAGATTCCTTTGATCCCACTCCTTTGGCTGCCCTTACGTTTCTTCTCCCATTACCCACCTCAAAAGTAATTTTAAAAAATTGTGCATACTTTCAACGATAAAGATGAACAGAAAAGAATCTTTACAACAACAAAAACGTATACAAAACCTAATTCCAAGTCATTGGTTTGCTCACAGCAAAAATATTCCTCCCAGATTTTCTACTTACACACAAAGATGTCCTTATCTAAGTACTTTATAAGAAAATGACTGTAACAAAATTGATTGCCTTAAAATCATGTTAAATAAAAACAAGATTGATCTCTTCCAAATTCCTGCCATCAGACTCCCAGAGAGAGCACTATGTTATTTTTATGTGTCTGCTTGCTGTATTTGTTTGTTCTAATCCATGTCTAACAACACAGCTGAATAACTGACCATGTAGTGCAGTGGCTAAGAGCTTGGTTCTGCAGCTAGACAACAGTGTCTTGACCCCTCATGCCTCAGTCTCTTTATCTATAAAGGAGGAGCAATAAAAGCTGTTAATTCCTAGCTTATTATGAAGGTAAATGTAATACTACATAGAAAGCACTTTGGACAGTGTCTGGCTCATGACAAGGACTAATTTTTATAGCACATACTAGTAATTGCCTAAGTGTGCAATAAAAAGTTAAAGAGATTGGACTTAAAATGAAACAAATAAGATTATTGCAAACCCAAGGTCTGTTAGGTAACAGCTATCCAAAGATATGCAAGCACATTTACTCATTGAACAAATATTTAAGGTCTGGCTAGGCAATAAGTACCACATACAGAATAAAGAAGACAGAAATCACATTATTTATTTTTAAAGCATACATTGTAAAGAAAATTGCAAATGTAGTTTTCTTTCCAGTTCAAAGTGTGGGGGAAAAAGAAATGCTATAGAAAATATTAAGTATATCAGCAATTGAGAGAGAAATTAATAGACAATGATCGCATTTCATAGTGCAGAGCCTCCTGTAGAAGAGAATTTATTATAAATATGTAAATGTTGCATGAGCTGTCTCCCACCACTGATTTATGGTTGTACAGAGAAATATCTGAATCTAAAAACCCACATGACCTTTGCAGTTCTTTAGTTTTCATCTTAAGGCGTGTCAAGAAAATACACTGTCCTATGAAGTCCAAAGTTATGTCTCTTGTGGAAATACAGCGACAAAGTTTATGTTTATGCACAACCAACCTGCAGAAAGTGCTGGGTATAAATAAATTCCAGGCCTCAAAACAGCTGCTTACTGTAGAATTATTTCCTCTGACAGGGACCCAATCATCCCACGGGACTCACAGACTCCTCTTTGGGTAAAAGGTTATTAAAAACTAGAAGTAACACGTGGGTACTAATAATTACCGGCAATGGGTTCTTAAGGCTGTTTGCATAGCATACTGATTAATTTTACATGAAATGACCACTTCCTGTTAGCTCTTATCAGCACTGCTGCAGACCCGTGAAAAAGAAACGCCAGCACACACCTGCGTATGATTTAGAGCTAGCTCCCTCTCTTCAGCACGCACGCCTAATCCCGGCTGGCTAAAGAGAAACACAATAAAATGGTGGGGGGGCGGGGGAAGGGATTTCTTTAGATCGTGTAACTGGGAAGTCCAGGGATATTCTAAGTCCAGGCGGAGCTTGAGCCAAGTGATCAAAGGACGTCACCAAGGCATTGTCTTTCTCCGTTTCCTAGTTTTGTCTTCCTGTGTGCTCGCTTTGTTACTGTTCAGGTTTCTCAGTGAGGGGGCAAAGATGCCACCAGAAGCTCCAGCATCACATCCTGTTGGCTTAGTTGAAGAAACAGGGTTTGTTTCCAATAGTTTGAGCAAAACACAATCTCACTGGCCATCTCTTGCCATTATTAGCCTATAGTCAAGGGGTGAGCCAGACACATGGGCAAACAGTGGTGGAAGAGGACGTTGCCCAAAGACAACTATGGTCTACTAACAGAAAAAGGAGGGATAGTGGCTAGACAGGCAAATCAAGATATGTCCACAAACTAACCTCTTCAAATTTCCATTTCAAAACAATACCAGCCTACTATCCATCAATCACTTATTAACACCTTCTGTACCCTAAGCATTACTGGTGACCGAAAGCAGAAGACATGATCCCTGGCCTCGTGGAGCTTACAACCTACTATATGTTTGAACATGAGTGAAAGTATTTCATATGATGTGGTCGAGATTAAAATCCTGGTGCCGTGAACATAATGAGTTACTTATTCACTTCCCGGTATTTCCTCCAAGTATTATTTTCTTTGGTGGCCTTCAAAGTTCAATGTAGGAAGCATTGCTGTTGTTTTTAATTATAGATAAAATCCTACTGTCAGTTATTAACTTTATATATTAAAAATCATATTATTAAATGTTAATTTTAAATATCAATATAGATATTCAGTACCTAAACTTTGTTAAGATTAAAAAAAAAAAAAAAAAAGGAGGGAAACTTTGATCATGACCTAAGGGATGTTAATCTTCTAGAGCTTTACCCATGTGTTCATTGGCTAAATAGAAATATGTGTTGTCATTTCTATAAAGCAAATATAATACATACTCCAAGGAACCATCTCTAACTTGCCTGCTATTGAACTAAAAGTGAAATCCGTTCTCTAAGTTCCTGTAGCTTGCTTTCAACAGAAGTAAAGTGTGCT